ACCGGACAATCACTCATATAAGCTCCGCCAGCGGAGCTAACGAGTGGCTCATCCCAGAGCATCTATGTACCAAGTTTCATTGAAATCTAATGAGTGGTTGAGATATTGGTTAGTTAATATGACAGATTGCAACCAGAAACTTATCGCATTATCCCAGAGCATCTCTGTCCTTATTTTCAACAAAATCTGAGCTTGAGCTTGTAAAGTTTGATTGCAATTGGTCAAGAACAATATTCGTTAATTAAAATATTTGTTATTTTGCCATTATTAGATCTGAAAAACTTGTGTTCAAAGTCGGTACCAAGTTAGAACAGCATGCAAATGCCAATTTTAGTTCACTACGTGCTAGATTGAGGGGAATATTACGACCATTTGGGGAAAATAAAATTGTGAAATTAGTTGTGTCATCTTTTCACAACACTTTTACAATGAGTAACAATTTTATTTCAATATTAACTACTTACCACCATAGTTTATGTTATTTGTCAAAAATTATTAAGGGCCTGTGGCCTTTATTAGCAAATTCAATGCAAAGCAGTTTGTCATGTTTTCTTACAAGATTTGACCTGCAACGTCCTTTGACCTGATAGGTAAAATCTGTTACTAACGAATCAGAATATGGTGGGTCACCAACGCAATTCCCTGGAAATTCCCGAAGGAATTCTGACACAATGAATAAGTGAATTATAGATGGAGGTATGATCTGTTGGAATTGATTTTGGCCAAAAAGAATGGCAATTAGTAAATTTTGAAAGGTAAACTGAAAAAGGAATGCATTTACCTCCATTCTCGGTTGTTGAGTCATTGTCAAAACATAGTTAAGCATGGTCACTGTGGTTTAGACTTCATACAACAAACAATTGCGTGAAATTAGTCAGATCGAAACGTGTCAGGCTTTGTAAACAATTATGTTTTGGTTAGTTGAGTAGACATTTATGATAAACAAATCCATTGTAGCAAACATAACGCCCAACCGTCCACTGCACTATTGGCGACGCACATTTGTGTTAGGCTAGTTTATAGGGCGGGCATAGCTCTTCTGTGTCGATAACAATCCTAATGTCTGAAATTAACAAATTTGATGACACCAACTAATCAAAGAAAGCTTAGAAAGAACTCCCGTGTGCTGAGAGTATTGAAGACACAGTAAAAATTAATTCAAAATTACTTGTACTTGAGATATTGATGGAATAGCTGAAAACTAATTATGTAAATCAGTAACTGATATGAACAGATTTAAGTGTAAAACTAATAAGTCTGCACAATGTACCTAGTTTCATTGAAATGTGATTAGAACCCAAAAACATTAATTATTATGCTAATTAGAGAGTTATATGAACAAATTTTAACCCAAAATTAATCAGGCTGTCTATGTCTAGAGCATTTATGTACCAAGTTTTATTCAAATGTGAT